ATGATCAAGCTGTACCCTCCCACAGTAGAGATGGGAAAGCGGCGGTGCAGAGGGTGGTGCGGGGGGTGAGCTGAAACTCTGAGCAAGAGAGCCTGCCTCCCCAGGTCCATCTGATGGCGGCACCACATCCCAACATCAGGAGCTGGCCGAGCTAATCTCCACCCAGCTGAGATCTGGGCCCCAAACAACACCGTGGGAGCTAAAGAGACTTCCTTCTTGGGGTGAAATGCTCAGGCCTCTCGGCCGCCACCAGCTGTCATCTTCAGCACAGGCTCTGCATCCCTGGCCCGGGCTCTTCATCAGCAAAAAGATGTCAGTGGTGCAACCTCATAGGGGCGCTGTGGGAGGAAAGGATAATGGGAGCAGCGTGCTCAGCTCAGCGACCAGCAACCCAGGTTGCCAGTAAGTGTTGCTTACCGTTTGGAGTCAGGAAGATCTAAACTGGACCCTGGATCTGCCACTTGCCAGCTGTAAGATCTTGGACACCCCTCTGGGCCTCAGTTTCCTCATCTGTAAAGTGGGGATGAAAATGCTTACCTTTCCCTGTTGTGGGGGTTTAATTTTAAAAAACATGGCAAACACTTGGCGTGTGACCTGACACATCCTAGATGTGTCAGTTAGGGCCTGGTCCCTAACTCAAGGGCCTCCCGAGCTGTGGGGGAGGCAGGCACAAACACATTTCCAAAATCACACTTGTCTGTTCACTCAGTAATCATTTATTGAGCACACGCTGTGCCCCAGGGTCTAGGCTGGAGCACAAGACAGGCACAGCCCTTGTTCTCCTGGGGTTCATACTGCAGGGAGGGAGACAAAAAGTCAAGAAATCAACAGGTACAGTGGCAGATAATGGTAAGCGCTGAGACAGAGAAAGGTGAGTGGCTTTGGCGGGATGGGGACGGTATTTTAGGTAAGATGGTCAGGGCGACATTTGATCAGAGACCAGAAGATCTGAAAAAACCGTGTTCCAGGGAACACGAGGGGCAAATGCAAAGGCCCTGAGACAGGAGTGTCTCTGGGGCATTTGAAGAGCCACCAGGAGGCCAGTGTGGCCAGAGCAGGGGTGGGGGCGGGGGGCAACAGGGGAGCCGAGGGCAGACTGGTGAGGGGCGTCCAGCCCAGGTCACGGTGGGTCTTGTGCAGTGTGGTGAGCGCCCTGGTCAAAGTGCTATGAAGAGTCACCTGGATGGCGCCAGCCCTGGGCTCCAGGGTCTCACTCCAGCGCCGAGGACACCCTGCATGGGATCCGTGGACATACTTGTCCCAGGCCTGCCCTTGGAGTGGTCCAGCTCGGTGCTGTCTGCTGGGGAAGCCCTGCCTCATGGGGCTGTTGAGTACCGGAAGTGTGGCCAGCCCAAAGTGTGAGAGGCGCCGTGTATAAAATACACCCCAGATTCTGATGACGTGGTACATACAAGGAATGTAAAATATCTCATGAACACCCTTTTTTATTGATTATGTGTTGAAATAACAATATTTGGAGGTATGTATATATTATTAAACTGATTTCACCTGTTTCTGTTTACTTTTTTTTTTTTTGTGGCTACTAGAAAACTTAAAATTACACCTGCAGCCTGCATTTGCTTTCTATTGGACGGCGTCGGTCTAGCTAATTAGTCACAGCCATGGAATATTTAGACTGGCGTGAAGCGTGCCATTAAAGTCATTTCAGCATTTTTAAAAAACACTCCTACAAGCAGAGCCTTGAATTGGCAGAGCCTCTGCTGTCCCGTTGTGTTTAACAAGCACCCGGTTTGCAGGGTGAAGGGCCCAGGAACCCCGTCTCTCTGATGCAATTAATTGTCTTTGATGGAGATTATCACTAGGCTCCTCGCTGGGATAACACAGATGCACACCACATGCACATCCTACCGGCCTTGGTAGAGCACAACTTCTGGGCTTGGGTTACAATTGAAGGGCCAAGGCCTATAAGGGTTCTCTGGACCTCGGAGAGGTGCCCCCTTTGGGAAGCCACAGGGTGGGAGGTCTTTGGACCCTCTCTACCCTCCTCAGGCAATGACATGTGGAGGAAAGACCCCTCCTGGAGTCAGGGGACCTGGGTCCTTGGCCTGGCTCTGCCATTTCCTCCCTGTGAGATCACAGGCATATCATTGTCCCTCTCTGGGCCTCAGTTCCCCTGTCTCTACAATGGGAGAAATAGGGGTTGATCCTTGATGACCCTTCTCCGTTAAAAAATGGTGACATTTTAAATTCTAGGTTTTAGATGATGCCTTCACTCTGTGTGGTGCACCCAGGCTGGAATCCAGAAGCAAAACCTCCAAGTGGCCCCACAGGTCTTCACGAGGTTACGCAGCTTGGCAGGGGCAGGGACTGGCTGGACGACCTCCCCCTATCCCTGGCCTCTGGCCCAGGCCTGGCCCTTGCTCGGCCCTTCCTACTTGGAACTTGTGTTCCGAGAGAGGCAGAGTGCAGATGAAGGCTCCGAATCCACGCAGACGGCAACATGGGGCTGCATCAAGGGTGGGGCACGTGGACCGAGGCAGAGAACCTAGAGGCTCCTAGGACAGGGACATGGCCCAGCTGTGGAGGCCACTCCTGGATCCTGCCTCACTTGTGGGGGAATGGATAAAACCATCAGCAGAAAAGAGGAGCCCCCCAGACCTGGGTGGGAGTCACCATTCGGCCCCCCGTGCCGCCCTCCAGATGAGCGCAGGGGCAAGTGTCTTCCTCAGCCCAAGAGGCTGGCTGGGCCCAATTCAAGGAACAGGAGAGGAAGAGCCTATGTCCTTTCACCCTTGTTGCAGTCCTCACTGTGGCCCACTGGACCCCTGCATGAGATACACCTTGGTGCCCGGTGAGACACCTGTTCCAGCCAGACTGAAAGAGAAGCCCCCCCGACCCCACTCCCCGCCCCACCAGGGCCTGGGCCTCTGCAGGCACAACTAGACTCCTCAAAGGTGTTGGTCCACCAACATCTCCTAACTCTGTGTGGAGGCCAGTGGTGCTCAACCCCAGCTGGGCACTGGTATCAATCACCTGGGGAATGTTTTAAAAGCCTGATAGCCAGGCCTCAGCCTCACCCAGATCAATTGTGTCAGTGTTTCTGGGGGTGACCTCAGCATTAATATTTTTAAAGCTTCCCCAAATCATCCCAGTGTGCATTCAAGGGCTACCCCAGCCCCAAATCAGTTCTAAGAGATGAACGTTTAGGGAAAGGGGGGAATTGTGAGGCTCAGAGAGGGGAAGTAACTTGCCCAAGGTCACACAGCGAGGTGATGGAAAAGCCAGTCCTGGAACCCAGGCCTCTTTCCTGAGCCTGGGCCAGTTTCTCTCCTGAGGCTCCATCTCATTTTACAAACCAGAGCCTGGGCAGGTAGTGCTCACGGTATTTCACTTTAATAATATTGGAACCTGGTACAGCCAGGGCCACCACAGTGAGGGGTGAGAGCTTGCAAGGGCCATTAGCAGAGCCGTAAGTCTTTTGCTTTATCCAAATCTTGGGCAATAATTTAGGAAATTTAATTAAAGGGGGAGAAATGGGGACACCTGAAGCTCCTTGCCTCCTGTTATAATGAGTGAAATACACCAGGCTGTAAAAGGAAATGCTGTCTGAGACGCAGCTCCAATGTTTTATTGCCAAGTTTTATTTGCTGATGTAAACGTAATCGCTGGAAACCGAAGCTCTATTAACGCACATATTTTCACACATCCGGGGCCCCGCCTGCCCCCCCTCCCTTCCTCCGGGTTTGTTCACCCACCTCCTAGGGTCAGCCCCCGTGCTTTCCGGGCATGTCCACGCCAAGTCTGGATTTCTCTGCCGGTTTCACACCCTCCCATGGCAGATAAGAGTTTAATAGAATTCCAGAGCTCCTCTGGGCTCAGTAATGCATTCTGGAAATTAGGCGACTACATACTGAAGCCATTGTTCCCCCTTATAAATGGGCTCCCTCGAAGCCAGTGACCGTGAGGTCTCTGATAAGCTCTCATGAAGCCGCGCTCCACATGTTATTGGTGTGTTAAAAGGCGCAACTCCAGGCTCACATTGCTCATTGTTAGGGGCTGATACATTTAAGTAGTTTCTCCATGAATCAGGCAGCTTAGGTATTTCCTCCCCCTTGGCATTGATAGATGAGCGAAAGGAAGCCATTTAGATGGCACTATATAGGGCCCTGGCCCACACGGTGAATGATTTCCAATGCCTGGTTTAATTTATTTTTAAATGAAATTTGTTATTGATTCTGGATTAAAAGGACAAATCTTACGGCTGTTACCACTGACAGAGCCATGGTGCTCAAGTGACACCTCTCAAGGAGGGGAGGGAGAGGGTGGCCTCCCGGAGTCAAGGGGAGGGTGGTGGCTCTCCAGGGAGCTTGGGTCAGAGGCAGGGGAGAGTGCAAGATGCTCTGCTTGGGGTGAACTTGAAAAAGATCATCTTGGGGCGCCTGGGTGGCTCGGTCAGTGAGGCGTCTGCCTTCGGCTCAGGTCATGATCTCCGGAGTTCTGGGATCAAGTCCCGCATTGGGCTCCCTGCTCAGCAGGGGAGTCTGCTTCTCCCTCTCCTTCTCCCATCTCCCCTCCCCCCGCTCTTGGGTGTGTGCGCGCTCTCTCTCTCAAATAAAATATAAAGATATATGTTATATATCTTTAATATTATATATTAAAATAAAAGGATTGTCTTTCCCATCTGCAATACCTGACATGATGTTCACCTTTGGAGTCTCATTTGGGTAATGGGAATAGCAGTAATATTTGCCTCATGGCATCCATGTGGCCACTGGATGCTTGTTTAATTGCCTCCAGGGATGGGACGTTTACTCTCTCCTGGAGCATTCCCAGAGTGAAAAGAGTCACCCATCCTAGCGATTTTCTGGGATAGTCTTCCGTTCCCTCCTGCCTCCACCAGGCAATTAGCTTCCACAGTGCCTGCACTTGAATCCGTGAGCAGAAAAGTCAGAATTACGCAGGGGAGGGATACGGACTGAGGATTCTTCTTTCACCTCCAGCTTCTGCCCTGCCTCCCTGTGCCACCTTGTGCGTGTTATTTCATCTCTCTGAGCTTCTGTTTCCTTATCTGTAAAAGAAGGTAGGTAATAATGTTGGCATGAATTATATGAGATCATGGACGTGAATGTGATTTATAAACTGCAATCCAGGTGCTGAGGGAAATACAAATGGGACAGTGTGGTATAGTGGGAGAGCCCTGAGCTAGAAGGCAGGGGAGCTGGATCTAGTTCTGTCCTGGTTAACTGTGTAACTCTGAGGGAGTCACTTACCCTCTCTGGGCTTAGTTTCCTAAGGTGCAAAGAGGGTGGTTGAGTTAGATGTGCTTAGGTATTATGCCGAAGAGCATGGGCTCTAGAATCAAACATATCATATGGTTCTAGAACCGCCTTGCTGCATGATATTGTGACATTGGACAAGATACCTAATCTCTCTGAGCATCTGGTTTTTTGTCTGTAAATAATAAGAGCAATAGTGATAATAATAATAGCCAACACGTGTCATGTATTTACTATGTGCCAGGCACTGTTCTAAGGGCTTTCCATGTAGTGCTTTTCATTTAGCCCTCACAATAATCTTGTGATGAAGGTATTATAATCTTTATTTTATAGATGAGCAAGTTCAGGCACAGAAAGGCTAAGTAACTTGTCTAAGTCACACAGCTAAGTGGCAGGATTCAAAACTAGTATCCATACTTACAACCACACTATTCTACTCCATTTCGCCTGGTCGTTCTGAAGATTAAGTGGGATAATTAAAGTTCTCAGCACAGTGCTGGGTACAAGTGATGGGCCAACAGAGTCCTGGGGGCTGGGAAAGGTCATTTCTTCCTGTGGGGGACTCAGACTGGACATTGGTCAATGGGGGACTCAGCTAGACAGAGGGGAAGGCATGCAAGAGGAGGGGGAAGCACTGGGAAGGATAAGGACATAATGAAGTTCAGGCATCTTCAGGGAGGGAATGTGGCAGAAACGGTACTTGAACCAAGGGCATGTGCATGGGGTGAGGCTGGGATCTTGAATGCAAGCTAGAGAAGTTGGGATTTCTGTAATAAACAAGGCCATTGGAAAGTTTTGGGCAGAGTCTTCACAGCATAAGCCTTTTCAAAGTCAGACAATCCCTGGACGTCTGTCCTTGAAGGAAATTTAGAGGTCACTGTGTTTAAACCTGTTCCAGGCTATGAGGAGAAACGATCCTTGAAGATCAAGCAATGGGTCAGTGCCAGAGCAGCAGTGTGCTGCGGTCCCACCCTGACCTTCTTCCTCGGCAGCCCCCAAGTGGAGTCTCTTGTTTTCTCTCTTCTAATCTCCTCCCTCCTTGTCCCCTTGGCGGTGCCCCCCTGCCTGCAATCTGTGGGTTAAGAGGAGAAAGCCCTGGGTTTGGGCCCAGGTTCTACCACCACATTGTCCTGGAGAGGCCTCAGGCTGGAATTGAGAGTCTGGATTTCAGTCTTTGTGCTGCTACGTGATTTCAAAGATTCTGTTTCTCCATCTTTATATTGGGGGCATTGGAGCCCATTTCTATTGGGAGTGAAGCTCAAGTTAATGAATGAGAAAACACTTTTGTAGAGTCCAAGACACCTGACCGTCCCTGGATAACCTAAGTACTATCTCTGTGTGGGAAGGAAGTGACAAGAAGTGGATCAGTCAGGCAAAACCAGCCCCTTCCTCTAGTGAATGTGGGCGAGGTTGGGGCCACGGCGGGGATCTGTCCGCGGTGCTGAAAGTAACGTCCTGTTGGGGCTCAGTTGTGCTGAAACATAGCATTTGTAATTGGGGGCTTCAAGGGGCTGTCCACAGTTTTGAATGAACCTGATTGCAGCTGGCGACCACAGGCCCCATCCAGTGTGCTGCCCGCCATAATATTGGAAAGGGGAGATGCAAGGACAGAGTGAAGATGGGGTGGGGAGCTGTCCCTCGGGCTCTAACCTCATTCTCAAACTTGGGGCTCTGTGCACAATGCTGGATCCACCTGTAGTCTGTGAAGAGGGGAGTGGGCTGTCTGCAGTGCTCACTCCCATTCCGCGGGGCGCGAGAGGAAAGCGGAAGGTCTGTCCATGGTGCTGAATCCTCGAATCTAAGAGCCCGCCCAGGCGAGGTCCTTGAGGCCAAAAAGGATGTGTGTCGGAGTTGACGCTGTCCTCCTCCGTGTTGCTGAAACCGCGGAGGACAGAACCGCGTCGGGAACGAGGCCTGAGGAAAGATAAGGGATGAGAGCAGGAAGGGACCCTTCCCTGGCATCAGCGACCTCGCCTTAGACTCGCTGTGGGACCTCGGAGAAGCTATGTCTCCGATTTAATGCGCTTCCTCGTCTTTAAAAGGAGGCCACTGGTCTACCTTCGTGTCCGTACTGAAGGTCTGTCCCAACAGCCCAGTAAAACCTTCAGGGAAGGAATCAGAATCGGAGGATCTCGTTGGATTCCTGGTCTTGGGAATGGGAGTGGCTTTGTTACCTGCCCGCCCCTCCAACATTTCATCGAGGCCCATCGGTCCGAGGGACGGAGACTGACAGCCCAGAAGGGGGCGATCCAATCCACCGCGTAGGGCCCAGCATCTTTAAGCTAGAAGGAGCCCCAGCAACTGGCCTGCCTCACTCCCATTATGCAGACTGGAAAACTGAGACACGGAGAGGATAACAACAGTAATATCTATTCAGCTCCTACCATGAGGATGGCACTATGCTAAGCGCTTTAACATACACGATTTCATAAATCCTCACCAGGACCCCTGCAAGTAGCTGCTATTCCCATTTCTCAGATGAAAACTCGAGGCTCAGACTGGCATAGACATCCGGACACGATCACACAGGAAAGTAAAGGCTGCGGTGGGGCTATCACCAGGTCCCCTGTGCCTCAGCCCAGATTCCTGCCCTACCTCACCCCGACCTCCCCCGACCCCCTGACCCCGGCACCGCCCTGCTAGTAAAGTTGGGAGCCCCTCTGAGCGCGCTGAGTCTGGTGGCAGGTGGATTGGTTTTTCTCCTTCTCCCGCTTGATAGTATATCTGCTTCTGAAGCCAGTTGTGTTATGCTTTGCGGAAACTGGGTCCCTAGTGGGGGGCTTCGTCCACCCCATCTCTCTCCCCCATTTGCACTCTCGGGCAGGGGAAGTTGCGGGTACCGCTTTAAAAATCCCAGCCTGGGCAAAACTTTGATGATAAATCAAGCGGCAGATCCCTCCGCCGCCACCTCCTCTGGGCGGGCGGGAGGGAGTGGGAGGAGGGGGTGCGGCGGCAGTGACGCCGAGCGGAGTGGCCTTCCGCGGAAGGGAAGAGTCCCGCAGTCGGAGGCGGCCGGCTGGGCGTGCGCTCGCTACCCGCAGCCGGGGCTGGGCCGGGGCTGGGCCGGAGCCGGGCGAGGGCTGGGGCCGGGGCCGGGTCAGGTTCGGGGGGCGAGGGGCAGCGGCCAGAGCTGGGCAGCCAGGCCGCATCGGGCAGGGAACGGCGGGCGCGGAGTCTGCGGTCTCCTGAGCCCCGATGTGAGGCGGCGGCGCCCCGGCCGGAGCGCGCACCATGGGGGCCCCGCTCGCCGTGGCGCTGGGCGCCCTACACTACCTGGCACTTTTCCTGCAACTCGGAGGCGCCACGCGGCCCGCCGGCCACGCGCCCTGGGACAACCACGTCTCCGGCCACGGTGAGTTCGGTCGCCGCCCCCGCGGACTTCCCCACCAAACCCCACCCCGGGCTGCCTCGCTTCAACTTGGCGGTCCCCGGGGCTGGAACCCGCGCCGGCCCTGGCGGGAGTCCCGTGGCGCCCCCTGCCGGGTCCATGGACCCGCCCTAGCACCCCAGCCACCCGTGCAGAGGAGGGGGCACCCCGTGTGCAACCCCGATCCCGCTCTCGCGGAGAGAGACCCCTACTCCCAAGCACACTCGCGCCAATACACACACCTCCAGGACTACACAGATATTCGCAGCCAGGGGCACACTCAGTGTTCTCACACTCACAACTCCTGCCCTCACACATCTCCAGACACCTTCCCGGATCCCCGTCCTCACTCACAAACACTCGCACTTATGCCCGCTGCACACACACAGGCATTACGGTTGGTGGGCTCACACTCCGCCAGCTGGCGCCCAGGCGCGCGCACTCTGCACAACTCTTGCCCGCCCTTCTGCCTGCACACACACACACACACACACACACACACTTGTGAACACACTTGGCTCGCCCACTCCTCTCTGCCCATCTGCCTTTCCCTTTTGTGGGCTTACCCCTGCAGCTGCCCTCATCCCCTCCCATTCCTCTCCTGCCCCTTACACCTGTCCTGGGGGACAGCAGACCCTGCCTCTGGAGAACTGGTGGTCTCGGGCTGCCACTACCCCTGCAGGGTGGGGGACGAAGGCTTGGGGGAGCCCATCGAAGACATTGGAATAGTTGAGATTGCTGCTTCCAGCCACGGGCATGGGAGGGGAGGAAGGGTGCCGGGGCTTTTGTCTGTCTCTGGGGGTGGAAAGCCCCTGCCATCCTTCTGTAGGGGACCCGGCCCTCCTCATCCTCAGCCCCCAGGACTGAAAGGTGGGAAACCAACTCAGCCACCATGGGAGCCAGGGACCAAGCAAGCAGCCCCACATTGGTTGTCTGAGTGTCAGAAGCTCCTTTCAGCCCCAAGGAGCCCAAGTTGGCCGCGGAGTTGTAGCATCTGAGGCTGGTAGCTGTGGGGGCCTCCCCCTTCCCTGGTGAGCCGGGCTCCAGCATGGGCACCAGAGCATAAATGAAAATGGAGACCCTTCTTCCATCCATCCCTCCCCATCTGGTGGGGGAGGCTGCAGCACCAGTGCTGGGCACTGTGGGCCCAGGGTTGGGGGGAGGTTTGCACAAAGAGCAGAGAACTGTGTGATTTATTCTGATGGGAAAAGGGGGGGGGGAGTAGGTGATTAGAGGAGGCTTTGCTGGGGCCTGACGCACCAGTGGGATTGTTGCAGGGGGTGTGGGGGCTTCCAAAGCCCTTCTCAGGGTCTCTGCTTTTTGGGAACCATGACTCCCTGTACCCTTCTGTCTCACCACGTTTGGCGTAAGTGCTCTGTGTCTCATCTCTACACCATTCATATCGCTCATTGAATTTCTACTGACCTGGCTGGAGCACTGGTACATAGAGGAAGGGCTATTTTGACTCTCAGCTTACAGATGGAGAAACCAAGGCTCAGAGAGGTGAAGGGACTTGCCCAAGGTCACACAGTGCGTGAGTGGTTGAGCTGGGACTGGCCACAGGGTCTGTTGGGCAAAGACTGAGCTTTTTCCAGGATATTCATCGCCCTGTCAGATTCCCTCCCGTTTAAAGGAAACTGGGGATTCCTCCTTCCGTTCTCCTCCTCGCTCTGCTCAGTTCCTTGGCACAGTTAGAACTTAGACTAGGAGGGTTTTCCAAGGAAGGGTTTTCCTAAGTTTGCAGTCCCAAGAGATACAAGGACTAGGGCTCTGAGGTTTATGGTCATCCTTTCCCTAGAGCATCAAGCCCCAAGGATTTGGGTGCTACCCTGTCATTCCGGAGGCTCCGAGGTGGCCCCCCCATAGGAAATCAGGCTTTGCCCTTTGTGTGGTAGTCTCTGCCTGTCCCCCGCTGCCAGGCATGCTTAGGGGCACAGCTCTGCCCCACCAGCTGTAAGGTCGCCTCTGAACCCTGGCCAGGTCCCGCTAAGGCCCAGAGGGGGGGCTAGACAGAGAGGACACAGCACTGACTGCGGGAGAACCTGACTTCTCTCAGTGACCCCCTATGCAGTTCTGGGCAAGTGGGTCAACCCTCTGGGGCTCCTTCTGTCCCTCCTGAAACGAGGAGGCCAGGCTGCTCTGCAGGGGCCAGGCTACCTTCTCCCAACATTGCCAGGTTCAAAGTCGCCAAGTAGTGGATGCCGAGGAGCCCCCACGGCTGCCCCTCTGCTGGGCCAAGCGCCCGACCACAGGAAGGTTTTGGAGCCACTCACTTAATCACAAAAAGAAACTGTTATTAATGATAGTGAGACACGGCGAATAAGTGGGTCATGTCTAATAAGCCATTTGTGTTCAGGAGGAGAATACCAATTTGATAAAAGCTGTGTGTGCTGAAAAAGCCCAGAAATTGCTGTTTAGCAGATTGGAGCCTGATCGTTTCATTATTCCTGGGCTCCGCGTGTCCTCAGCTGATTCAGGAAATGTGGCCCAGTTAGGGAGGTGTCTGTGTCTGGGGGTGGGGATGGGAGGCTGGAAGTGGGGGCTCCTCCGGAGGAGCCCATGGACCCCAACCACTTGGTGGCTCCTCATCTCTCCAGCTCAATCTGAGCCCAGCCCAGCCGCCAGGCTAACACCTTGCCCCTGCCCACCCGGGACTTGTCACAGGGAAAGCCTGTGGTCAGGTGGGTCAGCAAGGACATCTGTCTCGCTTCCCATCTCCCTGCTACCTTCACTCAGCCCACTTCACAGAGGGCCTTTTAAAGGCATGAGGAATGAATGGGGGTGAACGGTGTATGCCTCTTCAAGAGGCATAAGGAATTGGGAGGCTGGGGTCGTGGTGGTCCGTGTTTGTGCCTACTAGGTACTCAATTAATGGTAGCTGTTTTGATTATTCCTTATGAGAAAGCATCAGCTCATCGCCATCAGCACAGCAGCGCTGGGGGGCAGGGGGCGGAGCTAGCATTTATGAACTGCCTACTATGTGCTAGGTGCTGCCAAACCCCTCGCCATTGTTAACTCACTAAGGCTGACGTTATTCACGCAAGGCTGGTGTTGGGCATATGAGGATACTGAGGTTCAGAGAGGGCCAGTGACTTGCCCAAGGTCACTGAGTCTGTACAGAGAGCCACAGAGCTGTACCTGCCTCCTCCGGGACGACCTCGAGGCAGGCTGGACGAGTCACGTGACAGGACTTCTTCCTTCTGCACAGCCCTGTCTCGGCGCTCCCTTCCAGCTCCCCAGAGAACTGGTGAAGCCGTGGGGGCCGCCAAGAGGAGCCGGCAGCTTAGAAAGGCAACACACGGGATCTTGCTGAGGCCATGTGCAAGTTAGAAAAAGACAGCTGGGCTGGACTCCTTCTCCAGTTCTTTTTCCAGATCTTGGCCAGGGTGGGGGGGTGGGGAGCGGAAGGCAGGATCTTTGTGAGGATCTTTGTAGACCTCCTGCCTTGGAATCACCAGGGAGTTTGTTAAAATGCAGATCCCAGGGACGCCTGGGTGGCTCAGTTGGTTGAGTGTCTGCCTTCGGCTCAGGTCATGATCTCAGGGTTCTGCTCCGCGGGGAGTCTGCTTCTTCCTCTGCCTCTTCCCCTACCACCCCCATCCCCACCAGCTTGCTCACTCTCTCTCTCAAATAAATAAATGGATTCTTAAAAAAAATGCAGATCCCAGGGTCCCCCCACCCAGACCCATTGGCCAAAATGA